GAAATCGTAAATTTAGGAATCGGATAAGAATCGAATACTTGAAAGTAATCATATATCCTTAGTCGGCACACGCGTGGATAGATACCTAAATGGTGTTTCTCGCGCGCTTGAACAACTAGGAACAATGTTTTCAATGGTGGCAACTGGCAACCCAAATTTTCTTAATTGAAAAGCGGCAATACTGAAAATGAAATGAAGAACACCATAAGTTTTGTTTTATGATGGTCCACGACAGATTAAAAACGCTTTTTTATACATTGCAAATCGCAAAATTTCGGGGGCTACTGTAGGAAGAGCTTTTTCCCTTAAGATTATTTGCTTTACTGTCTCCACACTGGTACGTAGAGTACTGGAGGTAGGGTTTTGTTTTTTATCAATTCTAAAAAAAACATCGTGTTTTATAACAAGGGCTTGTTTTAAATCAATTATTTTTTGTATTTTTTATTGAAATACCCCTTGCATCGCCGCGAAACTACGACAAAACGTTGCATTCTGGCAGCTGCACACGCAGCCAGAATTATAATTTCAAAAATGTAAGTAAAATTTTTTATTTCAACTTCTACTTCTATTGCGTACAATCATCGCCACGTTTGTATCTCCACCTATAAGATTTTCATAAGATTTTACCCGGAATGTTTAGCCGAGATATCAGAGAGATGTTTTGAGTAAGAAAAATTGACATATATATTGACATTTTCCCATAAAATGAAGGCATTATTATGGTTAATACTGTTCGGTTAATTTATGCTTAGCCTACTTTGTTTTTAAGGTTGAAGTGATAGAGTTTTTCAAAGTTATACAAACAAATTTATTCGATCGCATTTTAATTTTCGCAAGGTGGTTTCATCGCAGCAGGGTCGTTCACGTAACGGCTTATCGGTTGCGTCTTACTACGCCAACCACTGAACTACAGCTTGAGATATTTGTGGCGTTTTGAAAGATTTATTGCAAAAAAGAAGCGCTTGGCAAGTTTTTACATCCATTTTTCTTCAACCTATTTAATACAAAAAAAAAATCAAATAGTACAGCCATTTTGAACAAAACAGGCAAAAAAACTTGATTTAAAACAATTGTTTTAAAACATTTCTTTTTGAACAAATCCCTAACTGGAGGGCAATAAGTGTTGTACAAACAGCTCAGATTTGTCGAATTTAAACGCTTTTTTATACATTGCAAATCGCAAAATTTTGGGTGCCACTCTAGTACGTGCTTTTCCCCTTCGGATTATTTGCGTTACCTCCTCGACACTGGTACGTACAGTACTGGAGCGCCGTAAGTGTTGTACGAACAGCTCAGATTTGTTGAATTTACGAAAATACCAATCAAAACAAAATATAATCGGGCACTTCATCACGCATTTTTGTGTCCATGGATTGTAGTGATATTTCCTGAGTAGTATTGCTTTTAACAACACAACCGCAGATTAAAATAATCACAAATAAAGTGATATTAAAACAAGGCGATGAACAATTTTTTTTGATTTACTAATATATATACTTTGATTTTATTTTTAATGAATACTAAATCAAGTTGTACTTTCTGGAAATTTATAGCAGATAGTAGAAATTTTCCAACGGCGATAACAAATTCGCAAGATCGCAAAAAATATGTATCAAAACTAAATATAATCGGGCAATATATTCTCATATTATTATGTTCGCAGATAGCCGTGGCATTTTAAAGAAGTAATGCTCTCATCTTGCCATAAGTCGACGCGACCGCGAGTGACCAGGAACACAATTAAATTAAAAGAGAAAGAAATTTTAAATTCTCGTCGTTGTCATGGATTGAATATTGTGTGACAGAAAAGGCGATTTATACACTAAAAAGTCGACTCTTTTAACAAACGCGCAATTGCGACGAATTTCCGACTTTGAAAATCGTTAAAATTCTGTTGTGTTTGGTTTTATTACTTTTTCACACCGAGTACATTTGCAATAAACGCACGTTGAGTCCGCAAAGGTTTTCGCCGGTGAGAAAATAGTCCGCGACCAAAAAAGGTTGGGAAACGCTGTATTAGGAGATACTTGGAAATATATATTTAACGGTATAGACTGAGGAGGAGGCTCCAATACCACCAATCGTTGATGTAATCAGTGTGAATCGTTATGAAATTTCTAACGATACTTTTATTGCAATGACAATTCCTTCATGCTGCTTAAAGTAAGGCCCGGGTTGGATTCTGCACGGAGTAAATGTAATTGTGTTCTTCAAGACGAATAGCATGCAGTTGATAACCAGATGATTCACATAAAGAACCAATGTTTATTCGAATAAGCAATGTAAAGGATGGAAAATTACGGATCTTGAAATGGCGGGGAAAGGTACTATGCGCTTAAATTAGGATTTTTTGTAAAAAAACCATGTCCGTAATGCAAAAATGTAAGATTTGGGAAAAACACTCCACGGCGTTTTAAGCAATGTAGATTGCGCTCACCACGTTGGCGGTGACGGGCTGTTATTTTTGGCGGGGCTTTCTACAAGAGATTTATAAATTTTATGTCTGCGAAATAACTGTGGCACACAGCCTTTATTTAATATTGTTTGATTACTTCATCATCATAACCTAAAAAAGGTTAAACTCGCCATTCCAAAAGAGTCACATCACCATCAAATGTCCGAATTTCGAACGACCAACATGGTCACTGCACGTGAGTTTGGAGGGAAATATCCTGCACCGCACCGTAATACAATTCCATTTCGATTCCAAAAGTATAAATACTGGATATATAAAATCTAACCCACCTGGTGTTTTATTTGGGGTTCATACGTACTTGCTAACAGCAATTTCATGAGGGACCGATACACGGATTAATCCTGTGTGTGAACGAATCAAAATCCGTCGGAAGTTACGCGTGCTCAATATCTGGTTGGTGGATATAGACTGGCGAGTTGCATCATCCAAGATCTCATTCAAAGGAACATAACTCGTGTCAATAATAAAACTACTTCGTTTATTTCTTAATTGTAGAGCTGGTATTGGCTACAACGTAAATATACATTCTAGCAAGCTGGATATTATTGTTTGTGATACCAATTCGATAGAAATACAGTGACACATTTCGTCTAACAACCTAATGTTATTCTTTTCGAATGAATTCCCATCAAACGAGGGCCGGCCGTTAGAAATAACATACGTAATAGATCAAGAGAATTGCAGTTCATGCGGAAATGAATACCATGATAATCAGTATTACTGCACACCAGGATGTTCATGTTGGAATCTATGGACGTAAAGAAATAAACATCAAATTTTAACGGGCTAGAACAGCGTTTCCCAAACTTTTTCGGCCATGGAACACTCACACTTTTTATCTCGCCTCGCGGAATACCAAACAAAAGGGTGAAAATAAAAGGGATAAAGAAAAACGGTGTAATAAAACAGTTCCCAATTGATTTGCAGTAGGGAGTTGCCAAATGCGCCGCGAAAACTAACAGAATTGTGTTAAAACACACCTAATATACCTTTCTATGTCTATTACTTCCCATTACGTAGTGTTTGCCTTTAATGTCACGTCTAATGGAGATAGAAGCCCTTACTACAATTTCGCGAGCTGCAGACCTGCAGAGTTTTTTACCTGCTGAATCGAGTTCAGCAAGCATGAGCAAATTTTTCAGCATTTCAAAGTAAAATCAGGCAGAGATGAAGGAAGAAGAGTTGACTTTTGCCTATATACTCTTTAGAACCTACTTGTTTGCCTATAGCAAAACCAAATGGATTGCTGTGGACTTGATAATGAACTTTACAGTCAAAAAGGTAGGCCGACGGTTAATGAAAATGCCACTACCCTATCTTAGTTCGTCCACTTTAGGCCGACGGTGACGCGAAATTGAACGGTCAGTTGGGCGACAACTTCACGATTCCTAGATCACCATGGTGACCAATTTAGACGTATTATTGATTCCTTTCCACGGAACACTCGGAAGACGCTCGCGGAACACAGTTTGGGAACGTTGAGCTAGAAGTTTTAATCATAATTTTCTTTTCTATTTCCGGCATATGGCAATGGCGTAGGCTACAACTCTCATATGGGGATCATAAATATTGGTTTGTGATTCATAAACTCGCTCACGAATCTATTGACGACAAACTTAAAATAATAAATCCAAAAACAACAATATTGGTCTCCCGACTCTGAAGAATCCGTGGTATCGAAGTTCCATTCTTTATAATTTGTAAACCTGCTAATAGAATAACACGACTTTTGTTCAACTAATATCTAATTGACTTAACATCGCGTTCAGGCAAACAAGTTTGTCATATCCTGATAGGTAATTCATTGCTTGCATGAAACATAGTTGAATTCAACTCAAAATATAATTATAAACTAGTGCTATTCACGACTCCTTTTCATTAATCCTCCCCTGGTCTTTAACGACCACGCATAACTACAGTAGGCTCGAATTTAATAGTCTCCATTCCACCTCACCTGGCATAATTCAAAACGGTGTATACTCAGCTTCACGTTTGCCGCATCGTGCTAAGCGTTTGGAACAGGAGCGTTGCAATTTGAGGGTCGGGATCTCCCTTTTGAAGTGTAAAAAAAAAGCATTTTTCCGTGTCATACATGTATGATATATATCAAATTTCCGTAGCTTGAAACGGTATTTAGAGCCACAAGACTCTTGAAAACTCACGTTTTCAGGCTGGACCCGCCTGCTGTTGCGGTCTAACTTGACAATTAGAAATTTCTGAACCCTCCCCTTGGAAAAATCCTGGCTACGACCCTGCGTTGGGATACGACCTATGATTACTCTGCGCGGGTTTGCAGATTTGAATCACGCGGGGATAATTATGTACAAGACGATTGCTGGACTCCTCGCTATCCATCGTGGGGTGGTTTACATATCCTACTAACGGATTCTTTCGCAATCGATTGATATGACAATATTTAGTAAATTATATTGGTAAGGTATTCTATTTGGGATATCACTGCAAATATTTACCCAAGCTATCTCCCAAGCGTATATGCTTCAATATCAAAAACTCGAAATGAACTGGTGATCAAATTTATTCACAGAAAATACCTAAAATACAAAGACGAAATATAAGAAATAAATTAAAGTTAACACTAAATAATATCCACTGTAAAATGTCGAAAATGTGAAGAAATAAAAAAAATCTATCAAAATACTCAAACAACAATGTACAGGCAAATAAATGACGAGGTTGAGATACTCACTGAAGTTGTGCGCAAATAACATATGACAGTCGGGAAATCCGAAATAAATCGCAAATCGAAATGAACCAATTATCTGTTTCTTCAATGATTGTGATTTATTCCAAAGATATTAAATCAAAATCGCCAAAAAACTACTTTGAGTAGGTAAAACAACCAAAACACGCAAATCTTCAATTTTGTTTTAAATATTCTGATAGGTGACAAGTGGATAATTTCATTATTGACATCGACATGCGTTAGATCATTTTTTACAGGCAAAAGTATTCCGTTTGGGCGTACAGAAAAAGTCAGTCCATAACTCTTTAGCGTCAATTAAAAAGTTGTAGTAGAGGAAACATTGCACATCGTCTAACTAGTTTTGGACCAATTAAATTTATCTCGTTATTGAAGCAATTTTTTACAGTGGCAGTGCAGTGAAGTCAGCGCGAAAATGCAATATATAGGTGGAAAATAAACATAAAATTCAGGCAAGACCCAAGCTTGGACATTTTAATGAGTATTATCAATTATTTTTCATGAAAGACGAAAATAGTCATTATGCGGTCAAAGGGCAATTCGTGGGCAAGTTAAAAAATAAGACGAAAAAATACGTTAGAAAATAAGGCTGTTCGTACAAAAACATTCAGAAAAAATGGAAAACAGAATAGTGCAATGATTAGGAAAAGGTGCAACGTGACAACAAACATAGTTAAGGTAAAGAATATGGGTAAGCTATGACGTTTAATAGGACGTGTAACAATAGCAAAATTCGAAATAAGAAGTCAGTCGTCAACAATGTTTCTAACGCCCCATTGTATTATTTTTTTGTGTCCACTTATTATCTGCAAAGAAAAGGAGATCATGGTGTTGACAATGATCACAAATAATCTATGATTTCCAATCATCCAAAATATACCACTAAAGTATAGTGTAGCAACAAACTATGAAAAAATAGTTCATGTCTTATATATAATATATAGAGCAGATTCGGGTCGGAGGGCAAGGCATTTTTCTACCATTAGCCATCCTAATTAATGCTCGCCAGTCCTGCTGATCATATATTTTCTTCAAGTATGAGCTAATTAGAAAGCACTACTGGAACTCGAGGAAGTACCTTTCTTTGTGCTATGATTTGATGAGAAAATTGACATTTTTCGAGTTCCCGGCAAGTTGCAGCATCCGCAAGTTTCATCATCTCTTCTACGTCCTGCGCGATTCCGTTTTGTGCAGGGAGAACAGAATAGACGTTTAATGGCGTCCCTCATCTCACGAAATCGCCAAAAATAAACCCATGGGTTTATTAATGAATTCAGAAGAGATAGCGTCAAAAGATATTTAGCTGCTTTAACATACCGCTTGTCTGTTTCCGTTACTGATACAAGAAACAGAATTCCAAGAGGTACCGTGCTGATGACGAAAAGCGCCAAGATTATAACAAGCGTACGTAACAAACGCATATCTCTTCTCTGGCTGCGTTTACGCTGAGCATTATTTGAAGACGCGCTTTTGTTCTTCGATGACTTTTTTGTCGTGAGCTCCTTGGAGGTTATTTCGTCACAAGATGGATCTTGGACATTTCCACCGTTTTGTTGAGGTTTGAAAGTATTTTTCCCATTCAATAATCCTCTTCGCCAAAACTTTTTCGAGTTCCCTTGGACGATGGAATGCCCGTTTGTTGTTCTTTCGTTGTTAAGTGCATGGTCGAAATCTTGCGATAAGAATGCCTCTGTTTTGCTTCCGCTACTTTCTTCCTTCGAGTAGTGAGCATGACTGTCCTCAGTTCCTGTAAAATTAACGAGGAAAATGATATTGGTAGGCGATTATAACATTGACTCAGCTGCTAGTGCTAAATTTAACTTCTATAAAAGCCACAAAGTATTACTAGGTGCTGTTCTTTTAAATAGACAAGGAAATTGATTTTCGGGATTTTATATCATCTGAATTTGATGAGCGTTTTGGGTGAACTCAAGAGCCCATTATGATATATTGACAAACACAATGAATATCTATGTTTAAGAATAAATCTATCATGTGAGATCTAATCATGGAGACAGTAGGAAAAGGGTATTAGTAATGAAATAGTTATAATTGGCACCTGTTCGGGCTATTTTATTTATATTTCAAGCCATTCCGAGTTGTACTAGATCAAGTAAATAAATGAAAGTAAATAAATTATAATCCAATAAAGAATTCTACAAACTGCTTTGCAATTTGATAAAAAAAGCACCGGTAAATAGGGACAAATTGACCAAAAATCTTCAGAATTCTAGAGTATAGTAAACGAATCCTACCTCTTTTAGTTAACCATCCATTATCGGTGTATGATCCTGACACCACGATGTGCCCATTTTTACTTTTCGTTGACGGGTAAAGATTTTTCGATGATTTTCGAACGAAAATAAAAATTTTGATGTAGAGAATAACAGGAATAAATGGAAGCAACAGCAGAACTAGACTCATAAACAACATATTTGCCTTTGTGAATGGAGGGTTAACCTGAAAAGAAACGAAAAAATTATTTTAGGGATAAAAAAAGGTTCTTCTCAACTTCATTGAGTGACTTTTACGTTTCATATATTTTTTTATAAATGATATTGTGCTGTTGAAAAGTGCTTTGTCATATGATAATGATTGCACAATTTCGAATTACCAGGGGATGGATCAAAATTTATTTTCGCATAAGACAATTTTTTTTCATTTGGGAATACCTGATCAGTACGAAGTTCAGACACCTGAAGTTCTTCACCTGATGACTAACCAAGGGAATGTACCAGTCATTCTTTTTGTTACATCATAATTTACATGTGATCATATTGTGTCGTCACAAAGTCGCGTGATAAAACTTCAAGGACGTCGTTAAACTTAAATCCCCCATGTATATTTCCGACGGGGAAAAACCTAGAGTGACACTGTTTTACTATAGAAGGTAACTACGTATGTACACCTAAGTAAAAATTAGAGACATTCGTCAAATTGTGTTCACTGCCATGAAATGTTATTTCAAAAGTCTCATGGTAGATTTCAACTAAACATGATTAAGAATGTGTCATACAGACAACAAACATTACTCAGTTTTTTCTCCCTATTGAAAATTTGAACTGCCACACGATCAAGCACGTGGCTGCGATCGAGATAACATTTATACGCTTAATTCTGTAGGCCCTATGTTAAACTTTGTACAATTTTTAAAACGAAATCGATCAATTATGTCATGCTATTGACTAACCAGCAAAGGGTTTTTGTTTGTGCGTTTAACAGCGACCTCAGTAAATGAGCATTAACAATTTTTTGTATATATATTTGTATATATATTTGTATATACCACAATCTAAAAAGTATATAATTTGAAAGCAAACCACCGATTTTGTGAAATTACAGCAGTTAGACAATACAACAATATACAAACTGCGGGGAAAACCATTCGTAAATTTAATTGCAAAAAAACAAGTCTGTCAGAGTGATTCAATTAAACATTTTAGAAAAGCATAGCAAACAAGATCAGTGAGTCAAAATTGAGACAAGACCTACAAATTTGATTAAAAGGCAGTATCTAACAAAATCACTTTAAAGTTTAAACCAACAATTAAACACATTATTTTCAGATTTTAAAATCCATGGGGATTTTTTTGGAATGAAAAGCAACTGCTTGGCGATAGTCCTATTAGGACCAGATCTTGTCAATGCCAAAACTTGTATTTGTCTCACATGCTGTTTAAAATTGAAATATCTAAAGCCACTTGTTCGAATAGCATTGGTAAACTTATCATTAGGATTATTTTGCTTATATTGTATCAGATTTATTATGGGAATGAATGCTATGTATATTAGATTCAAGTTAGATTAAATTAAGCCTATATTAGGATACATTTAAAATAATAGTATAAATTGGCTCCTGAAAGGAAAAGTTAATTTTAGCTATGACTGTTCAAATAAAATAAAAACTTTGAAAACCGAAACGGGTTTACATTTACAAATTATCTAATACAATATATCACAACCACCGTGTCGGAGTCACTCCGGTCCACGAAAGGACCACGATATAATGAAAACTTGGATATACGGCCAACTGTAGTGTATGCACACATCTAGGCATGCTTCGTTCCTATTGAAACCGCTTTGTAGTGTAGAACTTCCGTGGCATATTCATTATTAAAAGTGGTATATTCATTTTATATATTCAAAAGTTTGGAAAAGGAGAAATTTAGAATTTTTGATAGCTACCAACCTGTGAGCATTCCGTTAAAGGTAGGCAAGTCATGTAGATAACGTCTGTGTTGTTGTTTTTAAAATAGCACGAGCAATTTCCACTGCAATTCCAAGTTGTCATGACAGGAATAACGTAAGATACCGTTGGGAACAACCAAGTAATGATGATTCCAGCAATTATCATTCTAAAATATAGAGAAATGGAAATAAAATTTGAAATTATTGTACAAATCGGTAAATTCACGTTGGATGCTAAACAGAGAGAAACAATTTCCATTTCACTTCCCACATTGACGTATTTTTTCAAATTGTATTGTAGCGGGTATGATCTATTGACAAAACAAGCATTCTATGGTCATTCATGGTTGGGCAAAACGCTAAAGTATTGAAATCATATCGCTAGCTAAGCTATTCATATAGGCAAATTAATTGTTATTTATTGTTTAGATCCATTTTTTTGGAATATACCATTTGAACACAATGACTGTTTTTGGTCTATGCTGCGGTCCGCGGATTTTGCAGCTATTTTGAAATTATAAAACAGCAGCTGTCCTGAATATATCGCAAAACAATTGGATTGAACGGACAACTAAGCTTATTTAAAGATCACCCAATCTAATTTTAAAACCTATGAATTCAATTTTACGTTCAAAGCCGATAATACACTAGGACTTGTTCAAGATTGTCTAGTTGCTTAAAAATTTTAAAATAAAAAATTCATCAGTTTTTGTTTTCTTAAAAAAAATAACACTAGGTTAGTACTTCCAAAGGAAAATTGGTATTAGAACGCTTGGGTAATAAAGATATTTGATTAGTATTGAGCTGTAAAATCTTAAAATGTCACTTGTTCAAAGGGGTGATTTAATTATGTAATGATAGATCTCTTACATTTTTTATCCAAATTAGGTCAACCAACGGTGCATCACTTTTTACTAAAAAACATCATATATCAAACTTGTAACAGGCGAAATTTCTATTAGTAAGTCCTAATCATATATGAAATGATCATGTGTGATTTCAATGTACTCGTGTTGCGAAGCATTGCCTACATATGCAATAGAGAATTGCAAATTAATGTCCAGGATGACAGATGCTAGGCGATGGATTCCATTAAATGAATTCATTACGCAATGGCCGTTGCGATGCTAGAGCTGCCAGGATTTAATATCGATATATGGAATGAGCGGCAAAACCTTGAAGTTTGGAAAACGTTCGATAGAACATTGTTATAAAATAGGAATCATTTCTTCAGTCCGAAAATACTATTCCTGAGCTAAAATGTACTTTAGGAATTAAACATATTTACGAATCATTTGTTTCGAAAAGGCCATGAATTACAAATACATAACGATATAACATACAATTTTCGTTTACAGGCCAGAATTAAAAACTCCGGTAACAATCCGGTTTTATAGGACATTCTATTATTAGAGAAGAAGTAATGAAACCAGCCGAGTAAAATGAGATTAAAATGCAAAGCATTGCGTATTATAAAATGAATAAAAGCAATTTCAATATATAAATATAAACCACAAATACATTGTAATTTTCATAATTTATGGTTTATGTTTGATACCTCAATCCTAAGCTTATTATTTGCTGCATTTACAACATTCGCCACCATATTTCATTGCAAAATGTGATATTGGTAGCTGCTATTCATTACATTGAATGCGACTAAGGTTACGTGACCCAGCACCTTTCTGACGCAAAGTCTGCGCAGAATTAACCCGTTTATTAACGTGAGATCACGTCTCGGTTCATATGCTCTTGTAGGATTAGCGACCACGTTTGGGAAATGGCGTGAAACAGACATGGATAGTTTATATACAATTTACTCCCAAGCTAGTCATTAGCGACTTTATTAAACATTGAAAGTAAAAAGTTGTCTAGACGAAAAATCGACAGGTGAACGGTAAAACGATCTTGAGAAATTTATAGTTCCCGTCAACGAAGAGATATCGAGTTTGTTACTCAAAAGCAAGTTTGTCTTAAGTTTGTCCAAATTATCGGTGGGAATTTTCCAAGTTTTGTCATATTATCTTTTGTTTAGTGTGATAAAGTATTGGGTGATGAATTGGTCAGTCAAGTAAAAGACAATTTATCAAATATACGATATATATATATATATATAATCACAAAAATTGTCAATAGACAACTATCACACAATCGAAAGAGGGATTCACTCATAATTGTCTAACTACCATAAAACCTACCTCTTTCTCTGCTTATTTCCCCATCTGTCACCTCTAGGATATGATGCGTCACCTTTTGCTCCTCGAGTCACTTGGCGATATCGGTCTACAGCTATGACAACTTGACTCATAAGCGAAGACCAGACAGTCAATGTCCACACGCTTTTCTGTACCAATTCAGATTGAGCGGTTCGAAAGGGAAGAACTGCCTGTAAAATATGACAATAGGAATCAGATTAAAATTTTGAATTATATGATACTATTTTGGATGATAGTTTTTAAGCAATAATTAAATCTCCTGCTCTCCATTGTTGAAAATTCGGAACCATGCTGTCAAAGCCCCACTTAATGTTTTTTTTTTCGGGTTAGAGTTTATATAAGCGGTAGAGGTGGGGCAATAACCTATCCCAACTTAATATAGTATAAACAGAAATGTGGAATCCTAAAATCAGTGGGAAAAACCATTTAATATCATAGTAGTGTACACAGAAGTGACATAAAACATGGCGCATAAACATTGTTTCTATTAAAATGAGAGAAGATTGGAAAAGACTGTAGTGTAACAGATTTTGTAATACTGTTTATATGTTGTTGGGAGATATAGCCCTTTTTATTTTTTTGATAAAGATAACCGCGGACGGTGTGGTGGGGGTATGATACACGCTCTTGGAATCCGTTTCTCATATCAATCTTATTTCGCATCGTAAGGCCATACTAAATGAGAAAGTAAGAGTGCATATGAATTCTACTTATGAATTTTTATTTGCTTACAAATGTCTGCAGTAAGACATGGCGTTATACAAAATCCATCTTAATATTCCGATTTACGAAATACGGGCGTAAGAATCTGCTAGAATAATTATGATACATCGATGTGTTGAGTATCCACATTATTACCCAACGTACTTCTTGGTTCTCTTTGATGTAATGTATCGGTGTAAAAAGTTCGACCGCCAAGTAAACAATACCTCCCCAATTTCGCGCTGCATTTTAGATCAAAGAGATTTTTATGTTTTCAATTTATTATGATTTTTGAATATGCCATTTTTCTATGAAGCGAAAAGCTAAAATAAGACCAATCAATTAAACAGAGTGTAGCATCCAAAAGCATGTACGAATGTTGAAAAACATCTCTTGGTGTATACTGTACCAAGTGCCGCAATATCGCTAAAAAGGTTGTCATTCTAATAGCAATTGAAAACCATACATCTATCCAATGTCGATAAGGTTTTGAACCAATTTTTCTCATTTTTTCTGTTGTCAGATTCAATCACGAACTTTGACCGCACGCGTCTGGGCCATTTAATAGTGGTACCAGTATTCTTGGATATTCAAAGTTCAGTAATGTCGTTTCAATGCTAAGTTTAAACTAAATATTCCCTCGACCATTGAACGATTATGCTGAAGAAACTTTCACCGATAGATTTGATTTTGTTTCGTTGATTGTCATAGATATAAAAAGTCAAAGCCAATTTAGTACAAACACATTGCGGGAATTTGTACTCGCCCATCACATTTGTGAGTACTTGCCATGTTAACAGGTGTTGTTTGGTGTTCATTTCAATTATCACATTCCTAATCATACAGAACCCAACGCTAAACATTAGTTATTCACGGCCGAGTTTGACAATCATTCCCAAATTTTTTCGTGGATTAGTTGGGATAAGCGAAGGAAACAGATTTTGTTGATAACGAAACACACTAAAACAACATTTCAAATACCGCATTCATTGCACGACAGATGAAGAGTACGGTACTTGGAGGTCTGATTCGGAGCGGGGAACGATGTTGCACATACGAATAAATTGACTTTTTGTGGAATATTTGCATAAAAAAGATAATTTGAATGAAAATGGAAGAATAACCTAAAAACTCAAAATTGTTCATCAAAATTTTGCATGTGTGATCAAACGCGCTATTCCATGGTTTCGTTATTGCACTACATTTTTGCAAAAACTGCTTCTATATTCTGACAATCGTAATCGGTTGTATTTAGCACCTTGGCCTAAGACATATTGATGATTCAGCCTAAAAGTAGGCTGCTGGGTATTATCCGTTTAACGCATAATTGATGAGATGGCATTACTGGTTATAACTCATTCATTTGGTTTATCAATTTCACATTATGGTGAAAACATTTGTACAATTTAACAGTGGTCCCACGCGACACTTTCCATAGTCCGGAAATTTGCTTTTAATTTCTAATATAATGGCAAGTTTCAATTATGTATTGGCCATGGATAGACGCCTAGTTTTGACGAAATTTATCAACGGCATAACGTTGAAATATACGAAATTTATTTTTACTCCTTTTTGTGGTATAATGACGCTATCGTCTTTGTTATCCATGATTTCTTATCGCACTCTTAACGATGCGATCAATCGGCATATGGTCTGGGAATACAATTGTTTTTGGTAAGCTGGTATAGATGTTTCATTGATGTCCGTGACGGCGAGAAATTGTTACACGACTACAAAATTTAGTTGACAAGTATTGATTTGACAGTTTTACAAGACTGTTTTTAATGACCATCATCTCTGTTTGTTTTGGAAATCTGTCCTTCCACCGACTTCAGATTTGCTGCGGTTGCTCGATCAAAAAGAGTTGATGGTAGAGATTTCAATTTTATGATCAAAGTATTGAGACACTAAAAACAAGCTATGACTTTAAACCAAGCTCCTGAATTGACCAACACTAACCAATTCAATCTTCAATTAGAAAATATTCTTTGTCGATTGAATATTATACCTAAGATACATCGCTTCTTTGTTTCCCCCGGTGTCTCAGATTTTGGGAGGTTCAAGACTTGGGACATGTTACTTTGAACGCAGCAAAGCTAATGTGTACACAAGATTTATAAATTTTGTTTTAAAGTGGGTTCCGCTCGGCGCTGATTTATTCCAGGATGAAAGCGTGTCCTTGCTGTGACTCATGGGCGTCCCACGGCGAATAATTTGCCTCAAAAAGCATTAAAAAGGGGGGGGGAAATCGTGACAAGCTATCTGCTATTCATCCAAATGATTTATTTATATATATATATATATATATTTATAAATCTGTGTTTGGTCATTTATAAAATCCTCAATCTTGCCTCGACTTGTGTATCGAGATTTTTCCTACGCGTCCGTATCTTGATTTTAAAGCGTAACCGGGTAAAGGAGGTGAAGTGCAGACAGCTCATGCTTACAGCAGCGCTGTACAAAGCATTTATGATGTTCTGAAATATTATCTTGGCCTCGCAAATTGAATGAAACTTTGATCGCAATGACCCCTCATGCAAAAGGCTCTGTCATATTGCGGCAAATTGCAATATTGTGTGAAGATTTTGCGGGGTTAAATAGAAAGTCGACAACACGAATTTGATCTATTTCAGCGAGTCAACTAATGCATAAAAACGCAATGCATTATTGGCAAAAGACGGCCACTTCCACATTACGTGACAGTCCTCGTTTGTATCTAGACTCTGCTGCCAGAAAAGTGGGTGTAAATCGGTATCATATAACAGGAAGCTATTATAGTTAAAACTAAAACTCCGGGATATGAAAGTCTGTGGGTGATCTCGGTAGTAATTTTTAAATATCTCCTTTCAAAAATCATTAAAATAAGAAAGGAGTAAATTTGTTCAGTAAAATATAGTGACTCAAAGACGATTTCCTGCTTTTTACTGTTTATTGTCTGCACCTTCCCATCGAGTCAAATGCAACGGCGTATCCCTACATTCATATTAAAAGCGTCCTGTCATCAATATTCACAATATGTGGTGCAAAACTAAATTTATCACGAAACGCGAATACAAAAAAAAAGACATATCGATGACTAAGCAAAGTGGATTTACATGGGCCACATTGTGAAAATTTACTAGTATTTGATGGTAACGAGAATATGTCTGTAAACATCAAAATTATTTTATTTCTCAGCATCTACACAAATATCAGTTTTTGTTACTCTTCAAGAATAAACGAATAAAACATTGCTTGTATCACCTGCCACGATTGCCATTGAGTAAGTAACAAACGATTAAGCTTACCCGTTGTAGACCGAAGACCCAAAGTAATAGCAATCCTGCTAACATGTCAGCAACAGCCAGGTTGCAAATACAGTAGAAAGTTGCTTTGTGTAATTTCCTGCCTCCTCTCTTTATAGCAGCAACAACAACGAAGTTTGTGATAAAGATGGCCACTCCAAAAGTTATCGCTAGAGCCTGAATTATAAAATAATAAATGTTTTAAAGTATATAAAAAGAAAATATTCTATTTTTTCACACATCATCCCTTTGCGTTCTTGGTAAATTTGCCGCATAAGAGTCGCTTTAAACATTTCAGAATCAGTCTTTTTATTGTACTATAAAACTTTATTGAAAACGGTAGTCAATTCGTCCGTTCCAGATATACTAACTCTGGATCTAAAATGTGTTAACAGTCGAAATTTGACTGACTACGATTGTACATAAATAAATTGTCTATCATTTGCTCTAAATGAGCGTTTGAGATTTCCGTGATAATATCATATTTTGAATGATCAATTGTGTGGAGAAACTTTTACAATTTTTTTGTGAAAATTTTTTCATTTTTTGTCAAAAATTCGAAACTACACAATTTAATATTCATTTTTTCGCTTACCGTAGGCTCTCTATAATAAAAGTTGAAATATTGCATAAAAACAATATAAATCAAAAATTATTATTATGACTGATATTATAAAGCCTTGTTTGTAGTGAAATCTCTATGCATCTCACAGAATTAAGCAAACATAATCACCTCAAATATTCCCATATGCTCATCTTGGATGCAAACCGTTTTAGTCCAAGACATTGCGTAATGCTCTTCTATTTTTTCACCTTCTTGTATATCTGCATTGAATTAATCGCTCGAGTTAAATAAATGCATTCAGATACTTAAAATAACATTAAAATAATTTTTATACGATATTCTGTATAACTGAAATATGATATATATATATATTTATTCGTTATTCGCTGAACATAGTCACCCAAAATAATATGGGAATTTCCTAAACGGTGGTTTAGTCTCCCCGACGCTTGACCCCTGAAATATCCTCCCTATACAGTACTTTATTATTGCAAAATGTTGGATGCTTATTTTGGGAGTTATTTGTAGAGTTGGCACTCACAAACTGAGTTACATGATCAAAACCACCATTTTTATCAAAATATACAACCAAGTGCCGCAAACAGGTACTGATAGCTAATTTTACTTTTTAGCATAGTCTATCGCAGCTTTTCCTGATTTTCGATTATTTCAACTAAACTAAAGATCATCGAAAAACATAATGACAATTAAATTACTTCATTTACAACTAACTTTTGGAAACACAACTGAAATCTGACAAATAACACGCAAACCCGTGAAAGCAAGGCAGTGTTTACAACCATGCTTGAATATCTATCTGAGCAAACGAAGTGTTTGAGCGGCTGGAAAAATTGTCATTATCACGTCATATTTTCCTTTTTGCTGATTGGACAATGTAACAAAAATAAACAAGGAAGTCTATGCTCGGGGAAACGTCAATAAAGTCATTAACCATGAGCATTCGTATCTAACGCTAAGCAAGCGCGTATCTATTGAGCCTTTCCCACAATTGTTGTTGCAACAAATGCATATCTTCTTGAATATTGGTCTAACTTTATCCTGTGTGGTTACATGTTAGATAAATCTACATTTTAACCTTCATTAATATCGAACTACAGAACTATTCAGTCGTTTAATTTGGATCGTAATACACGAAGATGATGGTACGTAATTCTAAAACAGAAATCTTGAAGGATGTTCATCGCCTAATTGCTATTTGACTAGACACCATCACACCATTATACCAGCATTACTGGACGACAAAAAAAACAAATGAATAGTGAAAGTTACTATTACTTTGTGGTTTTGTTGGGTGTCGTCGATGAAGCGTAATGCCTTAACCCATTTCTGCTTCGTCGCCCTACGAGTATTAGTATCAATCACCCAATTGAGAAAGGAAAATATTACTTCTTCACACACTAAAACTCAAATATATAATTACACTGCCTAGAAAATCTAAACGATATTAGTAACATTTTAAGCCGTATAGGAAAGTACAAAACATTTGCAATTTTATCACTGAAAATATCCACAGATTTGCGGATGACAGAATTATCTTATTCATATCTAAAAGGTTAGCTAGAACGTTACATGTACCATTGCTTGCCTGTTAGAGCATATGTTATATAAAGTCTTTCTACAAAAACTGCATACAAAAATGAAAAAATTTACTCACCTTCAGTAAAGGTTTCTGGTCCAATCCATATTCTGGGTTGTGGTGTTCTCCCGAGAACGTCCGAATTTATATCGACCGCACTCATCGCGCCTGTTAGTTTGATTTGTTGGCGCAGAAATATCTCGTTTCGTCTTTTTTCAGCCAATCGGTAGAGAAGAAATCTTCTTTTAATGTGTTGACAATATTCAAATCTTTTGAGGTATATTTTAAAGTAAGATAATTTACTGAATATATAAATAAAAATGTTATGATCATACTAAAAAATTTATAACCAAAAACATCTTATTAGATATACAATTTTTTAGTCGACTTGCCGATATTGATTTTCAAGTTATGAATACAAATGTTTGAATCTACAAAAATATTTACAGCCAGTTACCGAAAACAAAGTGCTCAATTCATTTTTGGATAAAGGAACTTAGTCTGGTGTGGGACAAAGATAGTAGTATTGTGAAGATAACTTTTCACGCAATACAGATTTTTATCACACAGTCTTACCACGTCGTGAATCATCTTTTCCTGAGGAAATAACGTTTGAATCGGTCGATCCATACGATCGGAAAACAAAAAAAAAATTTTTCATTAATCTAATTTTGATTGTACGGAAAATGCTATCCGAACCATTTCGTAAAAATATTCATTTAGTTTTGAACATTATTTAAATATTCGAACTCTATCCAACCAGCCAATGCATTTGTATTTCTTCAAAATATGAGGAAGTATGGTGTATATCAACTGAAATATTATAGTTACGGAAGGCGCGGACGGAATTTGCTTTGGTTTCTATGCTAAGTATTCCCAGTTTTCTCTAACCAAGAGAGAAATATGCAAAATATGCTCGTCAAAAATGGAAATTTTTAACTGCACTCTTTTAAATTTTGTTCAGAAACATAGCGGGAAAGGAAAGGTAATGACTGATTAGTCACATGGCCGACTTTGGCATCTTCTTCAGTGGTTAGTACATAGTATCCTTGATTAAATACGATATCTAGCGAGAAGAGATTCGGCATGAACACTTTCTCGAAAATGATAATTATCTGTATCAGACGTCGATGAACGCTACATAATCCTGACATTGATATCTCGTGATTGAATAAAAAGAATGTTCATTTCGGTAAGAAATACAGCCGATCTGACCACACGAAAAGATAATTTTGATTGAAAATATTTACTGGAAACATAGCCTAATTGAGAAATTTCGTGCCAATACTGACAAACTAATTCATGCCTCTATTCTGATACTACCAAACATGGGTATGTTTTAAGAGTAACATATATAATAAAAATTCCTTAAATCGTAAGATGACTGTTGATTTCTCAAGTATTATCTCAGACCCCTATTTAGAACCAACCTTAGGATAGGCTAATTTGTGATTTCAAGACCACACTTGACTGTCGATCCAACAGACTGGATATTTCTACAACTCTCTTCTCTGATGGGTAATACGCTACAATTTTTATTCCAAAATTGCCCCTTTGCCAAACGTCTATACATTAATAACAAATGAGTATCCATTTTTATCAGCAGAATGACCTCCATTATAGAATTGTATATTATTATAAAGGATTAAAGCGAGAAATTAGTCCGACATTCTCCCTGAAGCAATAGTCTTTTGCATCTAGATATGGAGGTCTATACTTCAGCATTCCTTTACCACCTGCCAGCAGCGATGATCGAAGATTAGGGAGGGTTGTTTAATGCAGCTGGGCATTTCTATCGTAATTATTGTGAACATCGGTTTGTTCTTACTTAATCCACATGCGCATGGAAAGCGGGAATCTTTTAGGGACAAAACGTTTTCAAACAACCGGGACACGGTGCATAAGGTGTCTTCAGCTGCCACGGTGCGTAAATTTAAATAGTACTAAACAAATTACCTCGCACTATTTATGTGCACTTTTATTTGAACCTGTCACACAAAATATGCAGTGCGCTATTAGAGGAAAACAGTTGAGCTGCGACCTACCTACAAGATCCCCTCAACTTCATGAAAAAATGAGAATAAAAAACTAATTATTAATTACAAACTGATGCCATCCCACGTCAGTTACCTGTGATAAAAATGTACCCACATATGGTAATTATAGCCTATATTAGCACTCTACACAATTTAAAAATATCCCACTCCAAAGACGTAACAAAATCACCGATGATCGAAAAATTCATAATATATAAATATCTGATATGATCCTCAGTTGATCGAAGATACATCCAACAAACGAGCGTTTACGAGCATACGTTTCTCTGATGGCCGACTGGCCGATGATAATAAAATATAATTAATATAATTTTATTTTTCAACCATTTCCGTACATCAACTTTGCGTAGACGAAATGACGTCATAACGTTTTAGCGATGTTTAGTCCACACTATGTATTATCCTATTCACGCGCCAATTACAAGACCATCAGCAGACATTTCCAGATTTGGAGATATTCGGCATATTCGTACGTCGTTGTTGTCCGAAAACCATAAACACTAAAACAAGCGATTTTGTTGAAAATAAGCACTACATAACAAGGTTCAAAATATCCTAAATCTTGTTTATAACTGCTATAAATCATCCCAACCACGACGGCACGTCTTCGGCGAGCTCCCCTGGTAACTCTTTGTACGAACATTGACTAAACGTGGAGTGAATAATAAGCTTCGTCCAAAAGACTTACCACTGCCTGGTATGGATTCTTCAAAAGGCGCGCTTCTAAGCCTGTTCCGCGCTGGGCATATGTCGAAGTGACAATGATCTAAGTAAGGACCGGTGTAGGCGAAATATGAGAGCGTATACACAAATTACCTCCGCTTCTGATCCGTTATATTCCAGGACACTCGAACGACAACAACGATTGTATCGCGTATATCTACGTTGGAAATGATGCTCAATATGCAAATATAAGCTGGCATGAATTATACTTGAAGGAACTTAGAGGAATTGCAAGGTGAGATAACGTGAACATCATCAAATTCTTTAAAATTCTCAAGTACTTGTTAATTCTCAGCACAACTAAACTTAATAGAAGAAATTCTACGTTAGCTAACCTCATTATCTTTGCATAAATACTGTAATATTATTATTAATAGGATGGTGCATAATAGTTTACATGTGGCTCTCCACAAGCGTTTTACGATAACTTTTGATATGCGACTTGTCCAACAACTAGTAATAGTTTAAAGTCAATGCACACCAACAAATATGAAACACTAAGAAGTGTATATTTCTGTAGCAAATATAATGAGCAAAGTGTGGCTCGGAAACTGTTATTTTTCCTTAGCAATTTTTATTCATTTTCTGTTTAACTTTTCTTCAGCTAATATCTATTTACTAAATTATTCTTTCTCACAATAAACAACAACTTGCTTTATACATAGTCTCATTGTATAGTTGTACGATTACAATCCCTATACCGTATGTAAGAAATTCCCAGCTAAATGAGTGAACAATTTATCTAGAACGTTATCAAGTCATCAAATTCACGCGATTAACTACGATTTTGCACTTCAAGTGCGACACCATCGGTTCACAATAGAATAATGAAAGCGCGAAATTCCGCACCAGCAACAGGAAAAAACGCTTTGCGTTACATTTAAGATTGCTGACGGGTGGCATTCGCAGGCTACATTTTGATCGGTAATTAGGAGATTATTTTCATTTCGCACTAATACATCAGCAAAAACAACTGACCACTGGGTGACCGATCGTTCAGTAATCGTTTAATGTACTCGGAAACGATTCGCACATTTGAATAAAGGAGCATAATCACTAAAAGGTTGGGACAGGGATCATTGAGTATACGGGTGCTTTAATCAACGTCCTCTCATTTTAATTCTTTCTGGCTTAAAAAAAAAAACTGTCCAGTTAACTATTCGCTTCGTTTCTATTTAACTCCACCACAGGCATCTTTCGTTTATTTCAAATCCAACGCATTTTATTTTAACTTTAATTTATAACACAAGTCTGTTTACTGCCTAGCGTAGCTCTCTTGGCAATCAATATTATGATAAAAGTTTGTTATTAACAGAATAATATTGAGTAATTATAACCTGATTATTAGTAATAATTAGTCTTTTTCAATCATAAGTATCGGTATCATATATTGCGCCATGGCACGTGGGCAATGATAGCCACTCTCAAACTTATTATTAAATGATTATCTTCGTTTATGTATGGCTCAACCGTACCTAGGCGCGAGCGAACTACGTGTAAGTGTGAGTTATACTATGACTATATCGGCTACTGGTATGTAGTGATTGCAAAAATAAAGATTTTGATAGGAGTCACCTGTGATTAACGTAGGAGGAAATTACTGGAAATCCCATCAACTTCAGCAACTTCCCAATCGAAATATATTTGCCAATTTGTATCCGGCCGTACTTGTTCGAATGAAACGGTTTTCAAACGACGCGTTTACATATATATGATACATTGAAATTTTTCGATGTGTCAATCTGATTTCATAAAGTAAGATATCATTGATTGATAATCTAAATTCTAGAACAAACTAACATTAAGTATATTATGTTTTCTTTTGGGAGCCAGAAATGGTGGTTACTGGAATTTGCTCTAATACCCGAAGATGAAATTCGCAATTGATCCGCCAAGTAAAATGGAAGGGTCTTTTCAAGTAGATATCATTTTGATGCATTCAAATAGCTATGAAACGATGATGATACTCCATTTTGTAACAAATATTTTTATGCTTCGATTTAATAAATAGTATCTGCACGTCCTATGTCATCTGAACTTTACGCCCATCCAAAATAAACGTTCAGATTGAATAATTTTCTCGACTAAAAATTTCGGCATCAATATTTTCCGAGCAGAATCCGATTCTGACATCTGATTTTCTAAAATTGCTTATTATTATGTTCTACTTTTACGATTAATTTGCTGGACTTCTCAACATTTTCAATGACTTGCGTCTAAACAAAAACCATCAGCAACAATAGAATCGACTAATGAATAGATGCGCTTTTTCCAGTAGTCTAACGACTAATCACACCGCTGGGAACCAGACATGTTCGTTGGAGATGATAACATAGTGATTGATGAGGCAGCTTGATGAATAGTGTTTCTATGACCAGTGTCACTTACCACAGAGATAATTCATTTGTAATCAGCTACATATCAAGTGGTTTTGTATACAGATATCGGTCCCAAATCAAATTTGGCCATAAAAACATGCACATCATGACGACAAAAAGCATTGCGTCATGGATGAGT